TCAGCCACCTGCCTGTCAGCAGCAGCGGTACAGTTTTTATCTTCTTGTCCTTCACAGAGATCATTAGAGAGCAGAGAGTCAGAATGACACGATATTTATTGCATTATTTTCTCTTGATGAAGATGTCACTCCCTCTCTGAGCGTGTTTGTTTTCTCTTTGGTTTGTTTTTATCATGCACATTTCTGTTTTTTCACTTCCTTGTAAATGAAGGAAATCTCAGAGATTTTTGAAGCTTTCATAAAAATGTGTGAATGTGTTCATTGGGCGGCCGTAGCTTCGTCTGTAGGGACTTGGGTTGGGAACTGGAAGGTCAACGGTTGAAGTCCCGATGCGGACCATAATATGGAAGCTGGTCTGGTAGCTGGAGAGGGAGAGGTGCCAGGGCACTTCCTGAGCAACGCTGAGGTGCACCGAACACCCAGCCTCGAGGATGAACAAAGTATATAAAGTAAAAGTTAAAAAATGTAAAGTCAATTGAAAACTTTCTGCATGAAATAGTCAAAAACCCGGCGATCAGGATTAAAACTGAAGGAAAGAGAGTTACAGAAATAGTGATACTGCAAATACAGACATCATAATGAAATACAGAAGAGATTACGAAACAGTGAAATAAGGATTATAACACAGTAGACGTGCTTCAGTTTCAGATGCAGAAATAAAAACAGCGAGCTGAATTCACAAACATTAGATGAAGTTATTTGTTCCATCATCTCCTCTCAGAGTCATACATGATTGACTCTTCATCTGTTTGAGGATAGACATCCTCTTCACATTTTCTCTCCCTCGCTTTTTTCTGCAGTCAGACACACACACACACACACACACACACACACACACACACACACACCTTTCCGTTTCACCCTGCGCTGAACTCACTGTGCACAGAAAGTGTAATAAACATCTGCAGCGAGTCATTCCCTGAGTGCCCCACCACCACCGTCGATCGCCCACTCGTTCACCTACCGGCCCACCAACCCCTCTACAACCCCTGCATCCCCTCTCCACGACCCCCCACCCACATCCAGCCCCTCTTCTACACTCGGGTTTCACCTCTCAGCTTCCTGCTGCTCGCTGTCACACTGAAACACGGTCGTAACACTCAACCTATCGACCGTCAGAGGAGCAGTGAAGACGTATTTAGAAATACTTCCTGCAGGTACGATGAAGGAGAAAATAACTGCTAAATGTTTGTTCTGCTAAAATGTAAAAAACCCACCATGAAGAAGTGACTTTCAGAGGTTATAGCTTCAGTACACCAACAACAACTCCTCCATTAAAAATCAAGACCCAAATTCATCAGATTTATTGAATAACAGATTTGTGCAGTTTGGATCTCAGACGGAACAAAAGAGCCATGTTTAAAAGCGTTTCACAGACTTTTTGACACATTTTTTTCTTCATGGCACACACTCTAGCGGACCACTGAAAACAGCTCCACAACCCACTTTTGGGTCACGACCCACCTGATGAGAACCACTCTCTTAGTATGTATGAATCCCACATCACACAGGCAGTTATCCATAGTGATGCAAGCTGCATTTGTGACACATCCAATCAACTCCTTCTAGTTTCTGTTTTCATATCACAATGTTCATTTCCATCTTAAATAAATGTACTCATATCCCTCCATGGCCGCAGATAAACACAGTGGAATAAAATAAGTTCATTATATTTCTCTCTGAAATGAAGCTGTAAAAAGATGCAGAAAACTTAAGTAAGGAAACAAGGACAAGTTGCAGAGCCTTGTGTAAGTATTCCTACATTTTAAGTTTTCAATATTTTCTCTCATGGGTTAGGGTTTGAAGTTTTCAATATTTTCTCTCATTACAGTAAAACTTCAAAATAAAAGAGGTAAATTGGGGTTTAATGTGGATGAGAAAAATTTAAAAAAAGTTGAACAGCGTGCATTAGATAGATGCTGTCTGTGTGTGTGTCTGTGGTCGTGTTTTGAGGGCCCTCAGGATTGCTCGCTGTCAGCAGTGTGACAGCTGTGTACATCTGGTTGCGTAGGGGCCTCTTACAGCTCAATCCACACGTCGTTTCACCGGTGTCTGGGCCCCCGGACTCACTGCCACTGCTCACCTCATTACCGACCGAGCCACACCTCCATCTGTCCGGCTAATATCTAAATCCTCCTGCAGATTAGTAGAGGAGTCGTGGGCCGGGAGGAGGGAGGGAGGCAGGAGAAAGGGGGATGCTGGGGGAGAGAGGGGAAACAGGATCTTGCAGGAAGGCTTTGTGCCGGGCACATGAGTTTTATTAATGATCTGAAGGCTGGCGTGGTGGCGGCTGCTTTTTGGGTTTGTGGCTAATGGGAGAGTAATTGGGGCTTGAGAGTACTACTGTACTTTGTGTGTGTATGTGTGTGTGTGTGCTGGGGGATAATTTTGACTGATTCCCAGAACACTCCTGAAATATTTTTTTGAAAATGTCAGGAGCTCTGACCGTGACATTTCCGTGAGTTGCTTGTTCACACCTGTCAGTCAAGGGAGGGCTGAAAAATATTACAGCGGGCTGTCAGGAGAAACTTCTCGGCTGTTTGCATTCACACATGCAGCTCATCCTTGAAAATTTCAGGAAATGTTCAGGAGTTTTCTGTGTGAAAGCACTAACAGATTGCATTTAGTGATTTAGTTTTATAATCTGCAGGGGTCAAATGTCTTGATTCTGGACATGTTTCCTCTCACAAAGACAGTGAAGGTTGAGTGCTTGGGAGCTTTAATTTACATGTTGCCTCTCATGAAGATTCGTCACTAAAGCATTAAGTCTACTTAAGTTTGTGTGCCCCAAGTACAGAGAGCATCGTCCTATAAGCGGGCCCGCGTCTGGGTTTGAATCCAACCTCTCTCTCTCACCTCGATTTCCAGCTTTATCCAATATCCTATTTCTCCAATAAAAGCCTGAAAATAAATCTTTAAGAGATAAGTACTTTAATCTAATCCTACATGCAAGAATTGTGGGTCTGTATATCTTCTTAATCTCCATTTAGGAGCTATTACAACACACACACACACACACACACACACACACACACACACACACACACACACACACACTAAATCTGTTATTTACAAATTCTCCCGATCTCAAATTGTTTGTTTTAATCGACTCTGTCTGGTTGTTTTTGAAATAATTAATCTTTTTGAAATGATAATATATTAAATATATTTCTGAAATAAAAACACAACTGAAAATGTTAAAAGTTTACTGTTGGCTCTTTCTTGAAGTGTTTTCATTGGACTTGTAACAAAAATAAGGTATTTTTTTTATTAATTTGTGTATGAAAACTTTAAATTAATTTATGATTATCTTTTAATTAGCTACGTTTAAAACCCTGCTCTTTGAATCAATCTGCTTGTCGGGTTGATTCAGACATGAAGACACACATTCTCTTCTCTCAGATTTTTAAATCTCACACCAGAACATTTTATTTGAAGAGTCTCTTCTGCACAGCTGCAGTTTGGAAAAAGTTAACAAAACAGCTTCACCACGATCAATGTACCTGTTCTAATAACGGCAGTGAAGGTGATTTAACTTTGATTTTGAGGATATTAGTTTATTTCTTACAACACAAAAATATTGAATTCTAATTCACATGAATTTAAATTGGATAAGATTAGACAAGTTTTAAAACTGTTTCTGGTGTTTTTTGCAGCCTTCTTTGTAATAACGTATAAATGAGACTTGTGGTATAAACTGAAAAATCTGACCTTTACCACCACACTCCTCCTGTGCAGATGACTCATCCTCTGCTTTTCTTTAGATTTACAGAAAACGATTCTGCCGACAGATATTGTTTTGGTGTTTGGTCGAGCTTGGATGTGATGTGACAATAATGCAGCTTCTTTCTAATCTTATGTTTCATTGACTGGTTGACTCGTTGCTGCAGCGTTTGGAACTTAAACAATGTGCACAAACCTGATGATGTGTTTCATAACCCTTCATAAGGAATTGCAGCAATGATCTGCTTCACGTTAAATACTTTTAGGGTCGACTTTTAAGCTGAATAAAAAGAGTTTCACGAGCAGGTAGAGACTTGCAAGGTGCACAGATGAAGTCCACATAATAACAATAATATAACTGTAACTGTGTGCATGAATGCAATGTGTTTGAGTTTGCAATGCGTTGTTGCATCCTTTATCTGGTCTTATTATGTGCTGATTATTTAAATCCCATCTCTTTTTAACTAAATTATAAATACAGTTAATTCAAATATTCTATCAAATAGGCCCCAGTACGAGTTATTTCATTACTTCTCCTTGTCAACTAAAGTTCAGAATTTATTAGCTAAACAAACAAACATAGAACGACCCTGATTTCTGTAATTGTTACACAATATAAATTATCTTTGTTGTGGGTCTTAGAATAAACAGACTTCATATCTATAAGTCTTTGTGACTGTTTCTCTGTGTGACTTCTGAGCGTTGTTCTTATCGTGCAGACAGGTTTGAAAAGTTATCAGCCAATTTGAGAACACAACGTAATGACAAGTGAAGAATGTGTGTAGTCTACGCAGCGTTGAAGCCATGAAGGACAAAGTCAAAACAACATGTTAGACTTCGATACCAAAATACAAAATGTATGAATGAAAGTTATCTCTAAATGTCCTCAATGAGGGCGAGTGTTATTTATGCTTTTCTTCAGATTCTCCAGTTTTAGGATCCTTTATGGTATTACAGTGCCACCTGGTGATCAAACATCAGCTCCAGCTGTCAGCCTGACGTTAGGTTGACTGAAAGTTAGGCACAGACAGCATTTCCAGCATGGAGACCAGCATCAGAGAGCCTCCAGAGCCCCCTGCAGGAACAGACGGGTGACGTCACTCAGGCTCCGTCCATTAATATTTAAAGTCTATGGTTAATGCTAACAGCCCGAGAATATGTATATGTTAAGAATCCAACCTGCAATACAGCTCTGATGTCTTGTACACTCCAGTACAGTAGGTGGCGCAATGCACCCAAACGTTGCGATCAGCCAATAAACGTCGAGGAGAAGAAAAAGGCGGACGCTATTAGGTAAAAACAAACATGGCGGCGCTCGGTGCGGCACGGTGCTTATTTCGGAGCCATTCTCGGGTTAAACATGTGCAAAAGAGCAAGCACATGCTGGTCAAATGTGGCGCCCGGACGCTTTGTAGCGGAACCAAAGACACCGGTGAGTTTTAAACGATTAATGTGTTTGTTTACGGGTTGTTTTCTTCGCTGTAACACTGACCTTGTGGCGTGTTTTAGTGGTCCTCGATTCTCTCCGTGCGGGTGTCAAACAAATCTGTCGTTTTTTAAATTGATTTACAGATTGGAAGCGATACAGACACTATAAGGGGTGTCTAATATTTATTTTAAACCATTAATATGCTTTTTGGCAGGTTATGTTTCAATAAAGTGTCGTAAGTGCTAACAAGGTAAAGGTAGCGGTTCGATAGAGCTAGTTACTCTGTGTTACTGTTGCTATGGGAACTAGATCGATAGATAGATAGATGTACAACTGTGGCGTTACAGCAGCAAGTTATTAAGGCAAATATAACAACTGTAGAGGGTAAATAAATAAATGTATCCATGCAGAATTTAGTTTATTGTTAATTCTTAGTTTCAAATAAAGATAATCGAAATGAACAAATTAGACAGAGTGTAAAACTGAATGTAAACAGACTTTGCTGGAGGGCAGCTGATGTGTTGAATTGTAAAACAGTGATCACAGAGAGCTCTAGTGATTACTTACTGTATGTTGAGAGTGTGGATACACTAATTAAGTAACGTTGAATGTGCAAACTTCACAGGAGCAGAGCAGGTTACAATATGAAAGAGAGAGAGAGACGATCAGGATGACAGGCCTGATCAGAGGTGAGCTGTCCTACAGGGTTATAGATATGGGTAGGAAAGATCTCCCATGTCTGTCCTCCTCTGGTCTGTGGGAGAAGGTGCTCAGCGGGGGTTAGGGGGTCCTGCAGGTGGGTCAGAGGGTGGTCAGGATTATCGATAAAGGATAACAGTTGTTCAGTGTCCTCCTCTCTGTCACCACTTTTAAACTCACAAATTGTTACATGTGTTATATACATTTTATACAAAGACACCTGACTTTACAGTCAATGAAGGCAAAGAGTATGGTCTGTTCTGTTTCAATACAACTTGTTACCAGTGTTTAAAAAGACTGATTAGTGTGTGGGTGTGACTGTGCGCTGATATGATATATGCCATCTTAACCAACTTCAGGGACAGTTTGGGTCCCCGGTCTATGGCACCTTTATTTTGGGTGTCGCGAGCTGAGAAGTTTGGGAACCCCTGTTATAGATTAAATACAAACAATGCATGCTAAAAATCTGATTAACGGATAGATAACCTTGATTATTTAACTTTATTGTTCTGTTGTTTGTGTTTAACTGGTGTAACTTTCTCTCCAGCCCTCTCAGATGATGCGAAGCCTCAGTTCACCGATCCTTCTGTTCAGGACATTCTCACCAGGATAACTGGCCTGGACCTGCAGAAGGTGTTCCGACCAATCAAACAGGAGCTGAAGCCGCCCACATATAAACTCATGACAGACGAGCAACTAGAGCAGGTGCCACTTTAGAAAAACCACGATAGCACCCTCTTATCACTCACACACGTCATAGTCACATATGTTTCACTCAGTGTCTTGTGTTTGTTCCCAGGCAACAGAGTTAGCCACAGAGCAGGCCAAGAAGCTGCTGAAGATGCCACCTGTCCTGCAGGAGAGGAAGCCCATATACGATGTGCTGTCCGTGGACAAGATCCTGGCGGGCACCGACACAGCCAAATATGTCTTCACAGACATCACCTATAACATCCCACACAGGGTAGGCTCATGGTTTGTTTGCATACATGCAACTTGGATTGGATGGAGATTTTTGTGATTTATGCTGCTGCAAAAATAAACTTTGTAGTTCAGGTTTTATAGCAGAAACGAACGCAAAGGTCGTACTGAAAGCTAAACGCTTCTCAATAAATACAATTTGGATGTGTAGCTTCTGCAGCATTTGTGGATGATGTCATTTATGTGCTTATTTTATTACATAAAGTTCCAATCAGTAAGATGTGTAGAGACTGAAATGATAAGTGACCTTACTATATGATCATTAAGGAAACATGCTATGTTGAAGTGCTGGCTTCTCTGACAACAATGCAGCAGCCAGTATGTCCTCCTTCAAACTTTAGATTTGTTTGGACCAGTGAAGGTAGGTGGTTTTAAGAGACCCCAACACGGCCGTTTTGGACACCCCTCGGTTTGCCAGATATGAGAGCAGTTATCAGGTCAAACCAACAGGTGTTGCAGCGATGGAAGCAAGAGAAGTGGTTCAGATAGAAGTGATTGTACCCGACCTAAAAAGCCTCTGCATGTTTCTAATAAGCTCCACGAGCAGAAACGTGCTCAAGCTAGGATCAATGTTGGAGATGCTTTTGAAAAATGGAGAGAGGTTAGAACACAGAAAGGTTTACAGACCGATGCAGAGCTGGATAAACACTGAAGCTTCAGTGTCCACCACATGGCAACCTGCGTGAGCATGGACTCTAGAGAGGAGGGGACGGGGGGAGACAGCTCTCTACAATGTTTGTTTAATAATTGATAGGGTTGGTCTACAGCTGTTTTCTTTACCCTTTTGATTTGAACTTATTTTATTTATACTCAAAATTCTAAGAACTAGTTTGATCAAATTATTTTTTTTACTCTACTAATAGACTTTTGACTTTGAACATTGCTCAAATGAGTCCCTACATATATGTCCTTATATTATCCAGGAGAGGTTCATCGTTGTAAGGGAGACCGACGGGACGCTGAGGAAGGCGAATTGGGAGGAGAGAGACCGGCTCATTCAAGTCTACTTCCCAAAGGAGGGGCGGAAACTCACAGCGCCGCTCATCTTCAAGGAAGAGAACCTCAAGGTGACAAGCTGAGCTTTTTTTGCAAACTTCATATTTGAAAGTTACATCTCGCCTGTTTAGGTGGAAACTTTCCTCAAAGCTTTTATTTTTCTGTAATTATAAATGTAACAACATCTTTTTTCAAATAAAAAAACACTAACAATGCTATCTAGTCAAAGATTAATCTCCTCCAAAACCTGCTCTCTTTTCTTCTTTGCAATAATTGCAGTTTTATCAGCTGCTGCTCAATATGTATCATCTTAGACACCAACATTAGTTTCAGTCGCCGTGGTTTCCTGTACACAAACCAGAAACTGGTGTTGTAACAATCATGGACATATCGGAGAGTAGTGCAGAGCTACGCAGACACTCCAATGCACAAGTATGTAGTACTCACAACAACGTGGATTCGATGCAGAAGCAAAAACCAGACTTTAGTTAACTCTTGATCTTAAAGTGAAGTGTTCTCTTCTCTTTGAGAGGACTGAGAGAAACTGCAATGTGAGATCTTTGAGCATCAGTGCAGTCCTGAGAAGATGTCTGATCAGGTCTGAGTGAAAACCCCAGTGGAGACTTTTCATTTGAACATTTTCTCCTGTGTGTGTCTGTCAGATGGTGTTCTCCCAGGACCGCCACGAGGATGTGCTGGACCTGTGCCTGGTCCAATTCGAACCAGACTCCTCAGAATACATCAGGGTAACATTCCTGTTATTTTAACCTGATGATCGCCTTGTTACTGAAGTCTGAACACTGTGCAGAGCATGTTAGAGCGTGTAATTACCAAAGTCAGTTTCTGTGTTTGCTTTGGTGAACTGGATATGAAGTGTCAAATTAGAAGAAGGGTGTCGATGTGGAGTTTATAGATTTGCTGTGAGGAGCCTCACGCTGAGTATGTACAGCTTCGTGTTAAATTAGGATCTCATTTGTTCAATGTGCTGTGTGTGTAGGTACATGCAGCCACCTATGAGGACCTGGACAAGCACGGCAAATATGAGCTGCTGCGCTCCACCAGGCACTTTGGAGGCATGGCCTGGTACCTGCTCAACGCCTGCAGGGTGGATGGGCTTCTAGTGGACATGCTGAAGAAAGAGCTGTGAGTCTGTGTATTTTCAGGAGTTTTTATGCAAGTCTGAAAGCCCTATAAGTGACCTTCTTTCTGTACCAGCCCTGTGTGCAGACTTTTAACTGGGTTATTAACAACACAAGAGACTGTCCTTGTAGTTATTGTTATTTCTGGAATTAAAATATTTTTTGGCACTCTGACTTTATTTACACAGCCAGCCTCTGTGCATATTGGAAAAGCCCTTCACTCAAAGTGTGTGTTTTTCCAGTCTCCAGGATGCAGTGAGCCTCGTGTCTCTGTTTCACATGGTCCACCCCCACAGTGAGTCAGCCCAGGAAGCTGCTAACCAGCAGGCCACTGGCACCGACCTGCTGAAGGTGAGAACTCTGAACCTTGACAGAATAAATCTGCTGACTAACAGCTCTCTTTTTTTAAACATTTTGATTCACTGTGCTGTGTTTATGTTATGCATAGCCATCTGATCTAGAAGTTGTCCAGGTCGTACAAATCGTGACCTCTTGGGTATCAGAGTAAATCAGGAGTTAGCGTAGCTCCTGAGAGGTCAAATCAAGGCCGCCTCATCTCAGGTTTCCCCTGTAAGAGGTTTGGGTTTGTCTCAAGCGTGGGAACTGCGGGGCCGAGCTCGGGACACATCAGGTCTGATTAGTGCTCGCAGCTCGTTGGCCTTGAAGCAGAGGGGAGTGACATTCAGAATGACAGCCATTTAATGTGCGAGGTTAGCAGCAGGAGACACGGGTGTCTGTCTGCTCTCATACGAGGCCTCTCGTTTCGCCTCGCTTGATTGTGGAGCACAGACTTAGCTGTGTCTTATTAACGTGCTACTAAAACAATGAATACTGGGATTGTACTTTTAGAGGTTTTTGCTTGGCCCCTGCTGCACATTACTCACCTCACTGTGCCCTCTCTGTACTTAACTCTGCTGACCTCTGACCTTTTCCCCCTGCAGATCTATGCCCAGAAGGACTCCCAGAGGTCGGGCTACATTGAGCTGGCCCTACAGGCGTTTGAACAGCTTGATGCGAAGAGCTCTGCTGCCTGACTGGCCCATTCCTGAATAGTTATATTCAAATTCTTTTGTGTTTAACCAGATGGAATGTGGCCTCCAACAACGTGGAATGCAACAAGTTTCCATCCTCACTGTTTGGGTCGTTGTCAACATGCTCCTCGGGTTAAAGGAAAGCTGTACTGAACAGCCAGACTGGAGACTTATGTATTCGACTAAGATGCACTAAGTAGTTCATTCTTTGTGGGAGAAAAATAATATCACACCCTCATTGTGTCAAAGTCAAAGCTGAAATCATGTACATAAACAAATAAAGATCTTTGTACTTGTGTGACATGTTGTTGTTGGAGTTAAAAAGTGAGACAAACTGGATAAAAGATGATTTTAGTCACTTGTTTGAGTTCACACAGTACCTTCCATCATTTCAGAAAAACACACTCTTGTTAAGGCACTTGTAACAGAAATATTCTGATGTCCTAACCAGGTTATCTCTGATAAAGTAAAAGCATGAGTCGATTCCAGGTGTAAGAAGTAAATATGCATCTGTCGTGGAGACCCTGAAACCCCGTTTCCGGGATACATCACTCACGATGTGTCTGAGAGCATCCTTACCTGTATGTCGCAAAAAAGCGACCTATTAAGACATTCAAAACAGAGAAGCGGTAAAAGACTCACCAAAAAAAGGGCTTGTTGAAACCTTTAGCTTCTTCAGAATCTCTGTCTAATACAGTCATTTTATAACAAAAAGAGGCATGGCGTTAAGAAGACACAGGCAGCCTTTTCCCTGATCCAATTGATCAAAAATACTGTTCTAATCCAGCAGGAATGTGAAGAGATAGATGGATGAAAGACACCCTGGTCAACAGCGGTGGTAAACTGAGGTATAGGAAGGATCCGAGGTACTAAGGTGAAATCTTAATTATTTTTCAGCTGGTGAAGCAGAGAGAAACAAGGCACATATCACAGACTGAAGGCGTGCTCTGACCGTCACTTCATGATGGGTGAAGTATTACAACAGTTCAATCCTTCTAAAAATCACAAACAAACACCCAATTGTTCTCCTTATGTTCCCTTTAACATTAACTTGGCCTTTAAGTAACACCATCTGGAATCAACTGAATGGAGGTTAGCGTTTGAACAGTTTGGTCCCACACTACCTTAACTTAAAGGTCACATATTCTCCTCCTCTTCAACCAGTTTAAATAAGTCTCAGAGCTCCTCAAAACATGTCTGTGAAGTTTCTTGTTCTAAATCCCCTCTATTTCAGCCCTGCTCAGAACAGGCTGTTTCTGTGTCTGTACCTTTAAATGTAAATGAGCTGTGTCTGACCACGCCCCCTCTCTGGAAGGGCTCGGGTGTCTCGGGCTTTCTCACTCCACGCCCTATTGTTTACAGTGAGAAGGCAGACTCAGAGGGCAGAACAAACACCTAGCTGGGGGAGGGGTTACTGCCCTTTGTGATGTCATGAAGGGAAAATCTCCAAACGGCCTGTTTGAGCACACATTTTCTGAAAAGTGGAGCAGGCAAAAGACGGGGAGGATGGACTTTTCTCATCATTGGGGGGTTTGTAGACAGACTAGAGACACATATTAGTGTTAGACAAATATGGTGAAGTGGAATTTGAATAATATGTGACCTTTAATTCTTTTTTTTAGCCTGTTCACAGCTTTGTAAACGAGTCTTTGGTGTTTTACAAACTTAAAATATCTCCTCCTATTCCATCAAGAAATCCTCATCCAGGTTTACATCTGAGGTGTCGATGTCTTCCAGGTCAAAGTTGTCCAGATCCAGATCGTCTAGGCCCTGCAGGGAAAAAAAAAAAAGGAGATGTTGAATTAAAGAAAGCGTCACAACAGTTACCGTATTTTCCGCACTATAAGGCGCACTTAAAAGCCTTTAATTTTCTCAAAAAACGACAGTGCGCCTTATATATGGATCAATTGGTTAATTGGTTGATCCATACTGGTTGTACACGGCGCTCAGCGACACTGACTCGGATAATGACGAGAGGGAGCCGGGCATGTTGGATGCCGTACTCGCCCAACTGTTCAATTCGGACACTGAAGAAGAAGAATTCGAGGGATTCGTGGACGGGGAATGAACTGAAAAAGTGAGCTTTACGTGTTATACGTAACTGAACAATGTTGAGTTACGCACTAACGCAGGGGTGCCCAACCTTTTTTGAACCAAGATCTACTTTTAAAGTTACCAGTCTGCCGAGATCTACCAGTCCACATAGTGAGCCATAGCCTTTACCAACAGCCTACAAACACATTTAATACTCACACAACAAACAGAAAATAATAAATGAGAGTTCTGTAAAAAATAATGCAGACTACAGACTACAGCAGGCTGCTGTGAGATGATTTTGCTTTTGTTAAATTAGCTGCAGACACGGTGAGAGTGAACGGAGTAAAGTCCAACCGACTGTTTGACCGGGTCACGTGTGTTCCGCCTCGGTCCGTACGGATCACGGATCAACTGTGTGCTGTAGCACTAAAAGTAAAAAGTAATAAGGTTCGCGTGGTGGCTGGCGCTCCAGTGCAATGTGTGTGTGTGTGTGTATGTTGGTGTGTCTCGTGCCCCGCGATGCTCACAGTCATGACAGCAGAGAGGAGCAGAGAAAAGTAGCTGCAGCTTCATCAAATGCGCTTAATACTCGTAGCATAGTTTCTATATATGACTTTTTGGTAAAACATTTACCCCCCCGGTTTTACCTGCACGTCCTTGCGCATGCCTGCACTCTCTCTCTTGCGCGCGCTCGCTCTCTCGCTCGCTCGCTCGCTCTCTCATGCACGCAGCAATTTCATGAATAAATGAAAAATTAAATACAAACAGGTCGGAAGTATACTTGGGCTCCCAACACAGGTATCGTGTGTGGGAAACAGTGCAATGAGATGAAATTGAAATCACTTTTGTATTTTACAATTGTATTTTATATTGACAAAACATCTCGCGATCGACTGAGAATCAGTCAGCGATCTACCTGTCGATCGCGATCGACTGTTTGGGCACCCCTGCACTAACGTTTGAATTAGCGGTATCAGACTGTGTTTCTTTTACGTGTTTACAACTGAACAAGGCTGGGAGATATTGTGAATATGCACATTAACGTTTGAACAACGTTGAGTTATTGTGAATGCACTACGTATAAAACTACGTTTTGAGAGTTAAGAGAAACGTCAAAGAAATAATTTATTATTTGGGGAAATCGTCTTATGTACTTTGGTTTTTGTAGTTTTATACGTTACGTTTTATACGTATTTATATTTATATATTCACAATATCTCCCAGCCTTGTTCAGTTGTAAACACGTTCTATTCTATGCGCCTTATAATCCGGTGCGCCTTATAGTGCGGAAAATACGGTATTTGTTTTATTTCATGATGAAACTGATTCCATAGTTAATGACGTTTACCTCATCAACCATCTCATCCTCGAGGTCCTCTGCTGGTTCCTCAGCTCCCTCAGGACTTGCCGCCTCCTCCTTTGCTCTGTTCTCTGCGGGAGCCACTACTGGGGTTAAAACCTCCGGCTCAGCGGGCTCCAGGTTGTCCTCTAGCTGAACCAGGAGTGCTGGGATTTGTTCTTCCTGCTTTGGTTCTTCTGCCGGCACTGGCATTAATACTGGCATAGCGTCTTCGAGAAGGTTTTGCAGAGGATCAAGGGCCAAATCTGGAAACGTTTGGACTGGGGCAGGCAGATCTGGCTCTGGATTGTCTGTGTTTCCAAAGCTGATGAGCTCCTCCACTGCTACAAGTGATGATTCTGTGACGGTCTCCTCTGCTGCTGTATCTGCGAGGGTCGCCGCTTCTTCTGAGGTGATCCCTGTAGCTTCACCAGCAGGCTTTATCCCAGGAGCTAAAGCTTCTAGATCATCTTTATCATTTGTTAGACCGGTGCTAACCAGGGCATCCTCTATTACGATGGCTTCTGATGCTGGTGTGTCAGAAACACAGATGTCAGCTGCTGTAGAAACTTCCTGAACATCTGTCTCAGCTAACGATCCGACATCAACAGGACTGGACTGCACCATCTCTGACTCTTTGGGGATGGAGTCCAACATGTCTTCATCCACAGAGACTAACTCCTCCTCTAAAGGAGTGATGATGTTGTCCTCCACACAAGATACAGAGTCGGCCTGTTTTGGTTCAACATGCTGTTCTGTTACATCGACAGGCAGGGGGGATGCTGCTGCTGGGGGGATGCTTCTTCTTCTGCTGCTGCTTGTAAAACAGGATCAATAATCTCCTCTTTTATTGAAATGGGTTCTTCAACTGCTGCCGTTTCTTCAGGTAACTCCTCCGTCACCTCTTCTATTTCTTCAGCTGCAGCCTCTGTCTCCACTTCCGTCTCAGCAGGGGCAGCCTCTGTCACTGCTGCTACCATGATGCTCATGTTCGTCACAGCTTCCTGTTTCCAGAAAATGTAGGATTACAATTCAAGGTAGGATAACGTTTCACAAATCGACCTGCATACAATACACGCTTGCTTGTGAATATTTTTCTTGTCAATAGTTGAAGGAGTTTTGGACATTTTCCTTGAGTAAAAATACCCATAAAGTCCTGTAAAAATGGTTTGTCAAACGATTACATTTCATCCGCTAAATTTCTAATTTTAAATCTCAAGTTTGTAATTTCCATTGTGGCTGGTCAATGGGTCAGTTTAAAGGAGTGGACTCTTTTACTGTGTTACAAGAGGTACAGGTTTCTGTCCTCACCTCTAGGTCAGCGAGCTCTCCTGTGGGCTGAAATCCTGAAGATTCCTCCAGAACATTACGGTCCTCATTCGGCTGGAGAACAGAGAAAGAAAGTCCAGATGAGCTCAAAAACAGACTCTTTTATTTAACAACATCTGCAGCAACAACCTCGTTTGGGACACAGTTCAGGATAAAATAACTCCTCAGTTTATTCAGGTTTTTTAAGGTATAGTTCCTGGGACTTCCACTGACCATGATGAGTGGGTATTCTACAGCAGGTCTGACCCCGATGTGAGTCTCCTTCAGGTACTGCTCAGCCAGCAGGGCTTGCTGGAGGCCGGGGAACAGGTTGCTGTACTGGGAGGGGTCAGCCAGAGCATCTGCCGCCTTCTGGTTGACCTTGGACAGACTCTCCTTCCACAGCTTCACCACCCTGGAGGGGCGAACGAGTATAGAGATTATAGATGACGCATAGTGTAAATACACACAAATATATATGTATAGAACATCATCTCTTTTACTAAAGTCAGGTTGGACTTTTTCGTCCTTTGCCTTTGAGGAAGAAAGCAGGTATTTAATACACATTACAGACAAACTGCGTACGACGGACATATATGATAATAGGATTAGCGCACACACGGACAGTCAGTGCACTGGATTACAACAGCCGGCACATGTCGTGCACTCGTTAAAAACAACGTCACCTTGTCACATGGCTGGGCAGATAGGTCCTTGCCAGAAACGCAGCTTCTGGCAACCGATCTGTTTTGATGAGAAGCTCCAGACATTTTTCCAATCTGTGCAAACAAAAAAGAGTTTTGATTAGAAAAAGAGAAGTTTCATGTTACACTGAAATTTAAGCAGAAATTCCCCGCTCCTCTTCCTCTTGCTTCACTCACCGTCCCTGCATGAAGTAGGTGAGGAAGGCCACGTTGGTCTTCCCATCCCTCTCCGCCCCCTCTGCCAATTTTCCGACCATGTTGGCGTTGCCCGAGGCGGTGGCCAACAACAATAATCCCCCGTAATCCTGAGCTTGGTGCAGACACTCCTGGGCCAGGCTAAACTGGCACTTTGTCGTGGCCAGCTCTGCCAACTGCTTCCATTTCTGCTCGGACTGGAGCCGCCGAGTGTCCCGGTGCCAAAGAGACATGAGAGAGGATTATCACAAGAGGAGCAGCATGAACCGTAACTACACACCCAAAAGTCACTGTTTATTATTTCTGTACAATACAAACATTATTAATCCAACAAATGAAAAAAATAAAAAAGAGCACTAGCTGCAGACCAATTCAACAGGCTAATTCAACTTTTTATCTTCCTTATCGCCCCCAAACAAAACTACACAAAAAATACAACAAAAGATAGAATCCATGAGTGCAGAGGATGTTCTGGACAAGGAGATGTTCTACACAGTTTCAGCTGACTTTCATATTCAGACATCTATTTCAGCTTTAGAGTATAAGGCAGAAGAATCGAGCAGAGAGAGGCTGACGTTAGGGCATTCAGCATCAGCACTATTTGGACATGCACAAAAGTCTACTAAAACAGGGTGCCGTACAGCCTCGCGGTTAGGTTGTGCATCCCATATACAGAGGCTATAGTCCTTGTTGCAGTGGCCATGGGTTCGATTCCGACCTCGGCCCTTTGCTGCATGTCGTCCCCCACTCTCTCTCTCCTGCTGCCTATCTGATAAAGGCAAAAAAACCTAAATCCAGATATTGGTACCCCCCCTCGGATGAAATTGTAATTTCACTGGTGGTTTCTGACTTTTTCATCTCGCACCATCAACAGCTCAAACTTTACGTTTGTTCAAATATTTTAAATATGACCAAATATCTGCAAAACTAATGACATCATCTGCCTCAGCTGTGCTGTGTCTAGTGCTAATCAGCACATTAGCATGCTCAGGATAATATTTCTGTGGACCAAATGCATGATGACAAAATGAAGTACATTCAGAGAGAGTCAGTATTCAGTAAGTGTGTGTGTGTGTGTGTGTGTGTGTGTGTGTGTGTGTGTGTGTGTGTGTGTGTGTGTGTGTGTGTGTGTGTGTTCTGACCTCAGCCTCCAAGGCCAGCTGGTAAGCTGTCTTGACCTCCCCAAGCTGCAGAGCCAGCTCAAACTTGTGTTCTGGGTCCGTGGACACAGCCAGGGCCTGCTGTCTGAAGCCCTACACAACACGGGGGAACACAATGAAGAGCTTGAAACATGTTGTTCTCCGCTCTACGCTCTCAACTGTTTCTATGTAAAGCACAGTCGCCAAGAATGGAAGACAGGACATGTGAAAGTATGAATGCGAGACTGCGTGAGAAGCAAAACCAATTTTGTTTTTCTCTTTAAAGAAACACACAAGAAAATGGCCAAGAGGTTTTTCTCCATCTGGCTGCCTGATGTTCTAAATTATGCATTCATCCAAATCCAGAATTCATGGTCTGTTCGAGCAGTCAGAAAAGCACGGAGCTGCAGAAAAGCTGCTGGGCGCACATACCTGTTTCTCCAAAAAGTGGGCGACCCTGATCCTCTGCTCCTTGGGGATCGTGGGGAGAACCTTGTCTGCAGTGTTGAAGTCCCTCCTCATGACGGCCGTCTGGTATTCCAGCACCGAGAGCAGCAGGGAGTAGCTGATGATGTTCAGCTCCTTGTCTCCCAGGTAGAGGCGGTCATCCTTGGGGATGTAGCCCAGCAGGTACATGGTCCTGCACATAAGAAAGATCATTTACGGTATTTCCTATTTTAGAAATGAATAACAAGAGAAAGGAGCGCAAAGCATGCAAAAGAAAACCATAATAATTCAAAATGTGTTTTCTGGTTTGAGGCACAGCCAATGAGGTACGAGATGCTCGACATGGATCATACCTGTCCAGGTGAGCGATGGTGATGATTTCTCCCCCGACATAATAGTTTAATCTGTTCAGAGAGCTGGTGTAGATGAAGCAGTCTCCAACCCAGACCCCTGTTTTGACCACCTCTGAGACCTCCCCCAGGACCTGGGGACACAATGACAAAAGGACTAAAACATTTTCTGCTCTTCATCGCATCTTTCAATCCTCTCAACATAAATACACTGCTATAGGGCACTGACCTCAAAGGCGTCCTCTATCCCATCCTCTGTGATCGCTTCCTTGGACTCCTGAGCTGCCGCCACTTTCTCCGACAGGAAGCGCAGCACGAAGAAAGACTCGCTTGTAGCAATACACACAAGCTCGCCAGAGTCGGACCAGAAGATCTACAGACGGAGGGATAACAGATTATGAGACGCCGACTGATGGACTGCTGGAGAAGTACGATCCAAAGACAGCAGCCCTCACATGTTTGGGTTGGATCTCGATGCGGCGGATCAGCTCTGCGCTCTCCCAGTCGTAGAAGGCCAGGCCACTGTTTGACCTCACTCCCAGGAAGAAGCCGCCAAAGATACCTGCAGGCAGGCGGGATGCATTAGCATTAAAAACAGGCATGCACAGTTTCAACTGTTCACCCAACCATTTCATATTTAACAATAAGACAATAACAAGTTGGTACCACAGACGTAGAGAAACACAGACAATTATACAATTTACAAAAGAAATAGGACAAGTATGAACTGCTTATAATACGTGTGTGTGTGTGTGTATTTCAAAAAGGAAAAGTAGTGCAGCGTTGTGAATAATATAGAGCACTCAGTTTAAAATTGTTCACATTATGAAGTACAATAAAAATGTAAAAAAAGAGAAAGAAACGCAGCTCACCGTCAGCCCCAAAGTCCGGCTTGAAAGTCTTCTTCTCTTTAAAGTTCTTAAATATTTTAACCATGCTGTTGCCTTCTCTGGTGGCGTACCTACGGAAAGAAATGACACTGAGCTTAGCCGATCTTCTTCCGGCTATGGTGTACAATTCAGCAAACTCAAAAAGTATTCTGAAAGTGTGGAAAGGGTCCAACTCTCCAAAGTTTAATATTCAGCACTTACTGCGAGGAGTCGTGTGCCCATACGAACTCTTGAGCTGAGCCAAAGCTCTTGTTCCTCAGGGCCACGGCGGTGTAAATTATGTACTCCCCATCTCCACACACCACCACAAATCTGAGAACAAAAGACGGATAGATGTTTCATTTTGAGGCGATACAAGAATCATCAAGCATGCACCAATTTTTTTCTTTTTCAGTAGCTCAAACCAGTAAATTAAAATGAATGCTGTTTACAAAAAGCAGTGATACAGGAAGAAGGAGAAAAGGGAAAAACATTTTGCACCCTCAGCGCACATCTTACCTCCCGTTGGGGCTGTGCTGGATGGTCTGCGGGTAGATCTCGCAGCTCCCCATGTCTTTGAAACCCAGCGAGAGCCTCTCACCGTCCCTGACCTCGGCCTCTCCCATGGCCTTCAGGTTGGCCTGCTGCACCTCAGAGTGGCGAGCCCACATGACCTTCCCACTGGAGTCCATGGACATGGCCGGCTCCTCCCGACCCAGCTGAGACAGAGAGGTGGGGGGGGGGAAGAAGTGAAACATAGAGAATGTAGATGTGGAAAAACTTCTGGTTTCAACAGGTGAGCTAAGACGAAGACAGCGCCCTGGTAGATAAAGTAGATAGCAGCTTAGTTCACCTTGATGATGATGCTGCCTTCATCATAGCCCAGAGCCACACTGTTGGAGCCCGACTGGCCACAGATACACCACACCCTCTCCATGCCGTAGTTCAGCGTGTTCTCCAGTCGGTAGGTGTTGGAGTGCCAAACTCGAACGGTGCCTATCGAAACAGCCAAGAGGTCGTTATTATTATATTGAAGCAATGAACTGCAGCGATTTGAAACCACAGGCCGCTTTGCTCTGTTTGTTTTGCTTGAACCTACCGTCCTCAGAACCTGTGAGGATGATCGGCAGCGCCGGGTGGAAACGGACGCAGGTGACATTCTGGGCGTGACCTTCCAGAGTCTGAACACAGGTTTTGTTCTGAAAGCGAGAGACGTTCAATCATGACTTAAAGTTACTGCCTTTGCGTCCTGTTACAGAAAACAGCCGCAGATTAAGATTCATTAAACTAAACACAATTAGGCCCGATGGCTTCAGCCTGGAGCTTTTCATTCTGTGTCTGGTACCTGATAGTCCCAGATCTTGACCAGACGGTCGTCAGCTCCTGATATGAGGTAGGGTTTATCTCCTCCGCTGTAGTAGTCGATGCAGTTCACGCCCTTCTCGTGGCCCTCCAGAGTGAAGTTGGGAGTCTTGGAGCCAAGCTGCCAAACCTAGAGCGAGCAGAACGAAGCCGTGTTTATATCACTGAGGTGTTGTGATTTAGGAAATACTGTAAGCAACTGAGGTGTTTATTGAGATGATTCAACACTTTTATCTCAAGTGTGATCGATGTTTTAGGCTCAGACTACGTTTCCCATGAGCACTGGTGTGTCTGGCTGTAACAGTGTGTGTGTGTGTGTGTGTGTGTGTGTGTGTGTGTGTGTGTGTGTGTGTGTGTGTGTGTGTGTGTGTGTGTGTGTGTGTGTGTGTGTGTGTACTTTAATGGTTCTATCCAGGGAGGCGCTGGCAAACTGGTTGTTGTCTTTGGGGTTTATGACAATCTCCATGACGTAGTGCGTGTGTCCCTCAAAGACTTGGCTACACGACCACTTCCTGTCCCAGTCCCACAGCTTGATCAACATGTCATCTGAAAACACACACACACAGTGTGATACAACATTTCACACACTGGCTTTATGTGCTAATGTGAGGAAGTAGTTCTTCCTTACCGCTGCTGGTGAGGATGTAGGGCTGTGTGGGGTGGACAGCGATGCAGCGGATGTAGTCAGCGTGAGCCTCAAACATGTGAACCCTCTCCAGAGTGTTATAATTGAACACACGGATCAGCATGTCATCCTGGGGACAGATACAAACATTCACAAGGTTATTTAAACTGTAAACAACAAAACACATAAAACCTCAGATTTAACCATAGTACACAACATGGACAGAGTCTCAGTGACGTCACCCTTCGGTTTCTTAAGAGGCATTATGAAGCCTGACATCCGGTGTTTCCTTGGCAACGATAACCATGTCGTGTCTGTTACGGCGGCCGTAACGACGAGTCACTGCCCCTTGCAACTATAAAATTACAGATTTCTCTTGCTTTGAAAACAGTTGGAAACATTAGAGCCAATTTAAGAACTCAACAACTAATTCATTTGTTATTAATTTTTGCAGCCAGCCTCAAGTGGACACCGGAGGAACTGCAGTTGTTGCGCTTCTGCAGTCCCGTCATTCTTCAACACTGAGGTTGCCTCTTGGATTTAGCCGACGATGGTCACCATTGCTAAAGGTCATAAGGTGAATATGATGTTGGACTCGTCAGCTGAGCTGTCTGAGAGTTTGTTAAAGTGAAATGAGACATTCAAAGATGCAGCAGTGTCCTTCTTTTACATCACTGAGACTACAGGGAGACACTGAGGACGACTATCTAGAACACACACAAATATTAGAGTATCAACTTAGGTAGAGTACTTACTGCTCCCGTGATGACCCAGTGTTTCCTGGCGACAAACTTGGCCACTCTGACGGGCAGGTCGCACAGCTCGAAGGTCTTCACCATCGTCTAAACATGCAGGGTTCAAATCAGACAAACACTTCACAAACTGAGCTCACAGCAGATAACAAACAGCGGTGATACAGACAGAACAAAGGGCGATTAGAGGAATGTGGAACATTTTGATAATGACCTGTGACTCATGGTTCCAGACCACCACTGTGCCGCTGTACAGGCTAACCACCATCCACGGCTCAGTGGGGTGCAGATCCACGCTCTTCACCCGGTCTGACCGAGCGGTCAGCTTCCGCTTTATATCCAACCGCAGAGGCTGAAAAACAGAAGAACGACAGATTATTACATTAAAAGATAGACAGAAGATCGTAGAAACACTCATTCAGAGAATCTTCAGCCTGGTTTAGGGTTAAAGTTGTAACCACTGTGGGGTAACACCCCTGGGTGGGGTTACCAGGGCACCTTAGACCTGTGCATGAATACAGAAGGAGCAAACCTGTGAGGCTAAATACTCGGGAAGACATTCTAGGGTGGATTGTTGAACAGAATCCATTTCCATTTGGTGAGTCTGTGTCCTTCAAGAAGGTAGTCGTAGCTTCAGTGTTTATCCAGCTCTGCATCAGTCTGTAAACCTTTCTGCGTTCTAACCTCTCTCCATTTTTCAAAAGCATCTCCAACATTGATCCTAGTTTGAGCACGTTTCTGCTCGTGGAGCTTATTAGAAACATGCAGAGGCTTTTTAGGTCGGGTACAATCACTTCTATCTGAACCAGTTCTCTTGCCCGCTTCCATCACTACAACACCTGTTGGTTTGACCTGATAACTGCTCTCATATCTGACAAACCGAGGGGCGTCCAAAACGGCTGTGTGGGGGTGTCTTAAAACCGCCTACCTTCTCTGGTCCAAACAAATCCAGACTATTCAGGACCAGAATCTAAAGTTAGAAGGAGGACATACTGGCTGCTGCATTGTTGTCAGAGAAGCCAGCACTTCAACATAGCATGTTTCCTTAATGTCTGATCATATAGTAAGGTCACTTTATCATCTCAGTACCTACACATCTCACTGATTGGTCCTTTAATGTCATATTTCTGTATTTCGTTTAAAATGTAGCAGGGGTTAGTTGTAGCCAGACACTTTAAACTACGTAGAGCAGACACATTTGTAAAAAACCGGATTCGGTCGTTTTTCCGGTTCCGGAGCTTGTTGGTGAGGGGGGTGTGTCTGCTGATAGGCTACTGCCCATTCCTTATTTGATATGCATGCCTGAGTCAGACAGACTTGGACCCTTCAACTCACATCACATCAAGTGAGCAGATGTGGCGTTTTCATGGTCTGCTTTCAGAGGGAGCAATGTTGAAACACTTTTTTAAAAACGGTCTAATGTGTAGAAGTAAAGTGTGACCTTTCTCTGCAGGTCTGAAATGTTCCGATCATAACATCTACGCTTGTTAAAAGTCTGTTGGTACACACAGTGTGTTAGCAGCATGCACCTCCTACACGACAGCCGATGTTATGAATGGAGGTAAAAGTTTGTCTGTAGTTGTAGCACGCAGACAGACCCGCGTGCCGCTGACGAGACAACAACCACACAGCGAAAACACAAACAAACAAAGTTATAGTTTTAACTTTGTTTGTTCTGCCTACCATGTCTGGACGTCACTTGGTCTCTGCAGAGTTAGAGACCGGCCTCTCTGCTGCACTCGTCGAGCTTCTCCTGTACACAACAATCGTGAACGTTTTGTTACGACGCGTGCACCGACGAGAACAGAACCACTTCCGGTTTTTATTTTCACAACAAAAGCTGTCTCCCTCCTTGTACACTTACACATGCACCTTATGTTTTCTCTGCTTGGACATCATATTTAACAGTTTTGTGCTTTTTTACAGAATTTGTATTTGATTTAATTGATCCCCTTTTCACACGTGTATATGTACATAACATCTATCTTCAGCCAGGCTGTTATTTTATTCAGTCTGTGAAAATTCCCGGCCTTTATTTGGGACAGGCTTCGATACCTGACAGGCTTTCAATTATTTTCAGACCAAACCTGTGCACAGTAAAGATGGGAAAGACTACATCATTGTAAAGTTTCACCAGAAAGAATATATAACAGTGTACACAATTTGGATCAGTGGCGACTCTAGTCTGTTGGGTCCCTATAGGCAAAAATTAATTGGGGGTCCTGCAAACCACTTTTATATCTATCAGTGTCCCGACGCTTTTCCTGTTTAAGTTTTCTCTCCCACACAGATAAGTCATCTTCATTTTCCTTCACTGACGGACTGTGGTTTTCCCAGGAGTGATGCATGTAAGTGCTGTCAGATGGGGCCCCATTAGGGAGGTTTCCTTCTTTTAGAGCTACTGCTGTGGTTTAGTGTTTAAGTGTTAAGTGTTCCCAAGCAGTTGCCTGCCCTGCCTGTTGACAAGCAGCACCTTGCTTTGTAAGACTGCTGTACTGCTTTTCTACTTATTGTTCTTATCTGCAAACTATTTCAACAATAAATGCAAAGGGTCCTTTCATTGAGAGCTGCTTTTATTGGTCAAAACGTGACACCCGACTAGTAAAAAGGGACTAGGCCTTAAATTAGGATGAGCTTTTATTTGAAGTTTTACATCTTGATGATGCTGTGTACCTGTCTGGTAAATAGTTTTAACAACATTACATGAATCTTAAATCACAGGAAACACAGGAATGTTAGATTTGAAAGTTACATTTGAACAATCATGAATAAGATAAAGAAATCAAATCAGTAAAACAAGCACCAGATGTACATCAGAAACCCCACACAAAAGACAATGAAATAAAATCCTCGAAAAACCCACGAAGATATCGTATCTTGTACATACTTACATTATTTCAAAGATCATTTTCCCTTTATAGTTTAAGGCAAATTCAAAACTTTTATTTTGAAAACCACGAGCTCCCTTCCCCGGTTGTGCTCTCACTGCCGCTGTGTTACTTGACGCAGCTTCTTTTGGCGACGTGGATCCTCCAGCGCTTCCTGTGGGAGCAGCTCGAGATCCGGCAGAGACGCAGAACATGTTGTACCTGCGAAGTCTCCTGCTACACTGTAAAAAACACTACAAAACCCGCAAACGACGCTTGAACAAAACTAATTTTACTTTTGGCTTGTTGACCCCAGCCGTTTGTCTAAGGCAAATTATATGTCAGTGGATTAAAATGACAATTTCTAGGCAAACTTGAACTGAAGAACTCCCAGAAAATTTTAAAATCTGACTTTATCAACATGTATTTTGTGTGTTTTTTGCAGTGTAGAGCGTCTGTCTTTACATAAATATGTGCGAATATCCCGGATTCTTTTTAATATAACATAAAAACTTTAATTAGGCCTACAGAGATTTCTATATTTAGCCTATACGGTGGATGTGAGGGTTCAGAAAGAAGTTTTTGGGGGCTTTTTGTGAAGCCTAAACATGTAATATAATCGTATCATCTGCTCTGTGGGGACAAGAACTGAGGGAGACTCGACTGTTGTATGAAAATAATAACCTCACAACCAGAAACCATTACAGATTTAATGAACCATTCACAGTTTCACTGAACCGGCTGTGTGTGTACTTGGCTTAATCTTTAAAGGCAGAATGTGTGACTTTATGATCCAGTAGATGTCGCCCTTGAGCACCAGTATGAAACCAAAACAAACTGCTGTTTGGTGACACCTCTGCTATTCTGAAACCTCCACTCTCCTCCAGGACACACCTCCAACCCACTCATGTTCACACGAAGGAGTTATGAATTAGAACGCACCATAATTAAACACCACTAAGACTAAATTGTCCTTTTCTCGAGCTGCTATCACCTGTGTCCTGCATTGTTGTGTTAGCATTCTAATGTTAGCGCTCTTTTGTTAGCTCGTAGCTTCATATTGCATGTAAATTGACAATGATCTAAAAACACCTTCATGACATTCAAATAATCAGTGAGTATATTTTTCTTCTTCTCCAGCGTATGGTGATGCACTTCAGGGCCACTGTGAATAAGATATTAAACAAGTACTTTTTGGCCATCCCATTCAGGCCAACAGGCGTCACTCCAAGTATCACCAGATTGTATTGTGGAATGTCCTTTTGGAGGACCTCTTTCAGTGCATCAAATACTTCTCTCCAGAACAAGCTTAGTTTCGGAAATGACCAGAAAATGTGGGTATGATTAGCCACATGGGTTCCACAATTCCTCCAACATGAGCTGGGATGTGCCTTGCACATTTTGGATGTTATTTCTGGAGTTCTAACTTACAGAAGAGGATTAGGGCCACACATAAAAAAAAAATAGAGTTCTGACTTTAAAATCAGAACAACGGGTACCTGTAAGGACCAACTCCGGTGGATAGTCACTGTGCAGGACTGAATGTTATTCATTTTGCATTTCATAATTGTCCACACACTTCCTTCAATATTAATGCCAGCGGACTAATATCTTTCTTACATTTGTGTCCAATATGAATGATAATAAAATGCTTTGTAACATTGTCAAAATACTGTTATTTACCCTATCTCTTTTTACCTATATGGAATAAGGGGCTTCATCAACATTCAACTAAAGAACTGAATGTAAATGTGGTGAAAAGAGTCAGAATTCTGAGAATAAAGTCAGAATTCTTAGTTTAAAGTCAGAATTCTTAGTTTAAAGTCAGAATTCTGAGAATAAAGTCAGAATTCTTAGTTTAAAGTCAGAATTCTGAGAATAAAGTCAGAATTCTTAGTTTAAAGTCAGAATTCTGAGAATAAAGTCAGAATTCTGAGAATAAAGTCAGAATTCTGAGTTTAAAGTCAGAATTCTGAGAATAAAGTCAGAATTCTTAGTTTAAAGTCAGAATTCTTAGTTTAAAGTCAGAATTCTTAGTTTAAAGTCAGAATTCTGAGAATAAAGTCAGAATTCTGAGAATAAAGTCAGAATTCTTAGTTTAAAGTCAGAATTCTGAGAATAAAGTCAGAATTCTGAGAATAAAGTCAGAATTCTGAGTTTAAAGTCAGAATTCTGACTTTAAACTAAGAATTCTGAGTTTAAAGTCAGAACTCTATTTTTTTTAAATGTGTGGCCATAATCCTCTTCCGTATCTAACTACCTAATGTTGGGTCTTTGATTTGTAGATAGGGGCAGCTGTGGATCAGTTAGAGTCAGTCGTCTCTCAACCGGGAGGTCGGGGGCTCGATCCCCACATGTCCGATCTGTCCTTGGGCGAGACACTTTATCCTGAATTGCTCCCGCTGCTTCGTTGGTGGTGTATGAGTATAAATGGGATTAGTTTTAACTGAAGGTCACTTCACATAGCATCCTCTGTGTGTGAATGTGTAGGTGTGACCTGCGGTGTAAAAGTGCATTAAGTAGTCAGAAGACTAGAAAAGAAATATACAAGCTCAAATCCATTTACCTTGACTATTTCCATTGTCCTTAACATAACAGAGTACGGTCATTTACCTGCTTTTTTTGTTAAGTGTCTTGAGGAGCTGTACAAATAAAGATTGATCGATTGACAATAGAACAGAACAAATGGTGTTACAATGATTTTATTAAAGGTCTTCACAGTTACAGTATAAATAGGCAGGTTACACAAGGGACAGTTTTGTGCAGATGACGGTCCTCCTGATCTCATTGGGCCTTCTTAAAAACTTGATGGCAGACTTTGTCGAGGACTGTGATCTCCTAAAAGAGAAGACACCTTTAGACTGCGGGTTCAACATGATGCAACAGATGCCTCTCCAGGTTACATAATTTGGCAGAGATTACATCTAGATAGAGGTTTATTGTCTCTTTTTTTATTGTTTGTTCTAATCAAGGATTAAGACAGATTTCATCATGCAATTACAGAGATAAGGTGTTCTTCCTTTACTCTCATTGCTGTTTAAATATTATTTAAAAAGAGTACTTTCAGAGCGTTACATTAGGAAGCTACTGCTGCTGCTTTGATCACACAGGAACATTTCATCTCCCAAACGTTTACCACTCTACCTCATCCCGTCCCTCTTTCTCTCACCAGGTGGAGCATGTCTCCCTCGATCCAGTGTTTCCAGCCACGATTGTCCTTCTCGCCCTTCTGCACACACACCAGCTTGTCTCCATCCCAGACCACCAGCGTCTGACGATGCATCGAAAAAACAGGCGACAAGGTCATCACCACTCTCAAGAATATCTAAAGAATTCAAACGCCCAGCCAATGGGAGAACGAGTCAAATGAAAAAACCCCACCTTGACTTTTCGGTTGTCCAGGCCCTTCGTCTGCTCCTCGAACTCCTCGCCTATGGTGAAGTTGACCTCGTAGTTTCTGAAGGTGCTCAGGGTCTTTGTTTCAAACTTATCTCCGTTCTGGACTATGACCTTTGTCTGGTGCAGGTGGGACGCTATCTTTCTGGTGGCAAAGTCAATATCTGCATATATAGATTAGAAAGAATGATGTTAATGTCAGGGGGAAGCATTGTGAGTTTTCCCATTCTGGTTTGAAGCTGAGTTTGACTTTTGCAGAGTATATTCCGAGCACATCTCCACAGACACACATGACACCACAGGACACTTATTATGATTCCTCTCCTACTGGGGATTCTGACAGTCTCATTTACCCTTTAAAAATGACCTTGCTCCCAGTCAGAATTGCCCTAAATGAGTTTCTCCTCCCCCCGTTCAGCGCCGGGCCCCTGCCAGAGAGAGCCACACCACCCCCCGACCGTTTAGATTTTCATATCCCATTTGCTTTAAAGTGAAAATTCAATTTCTTCCC